CGTTATTGGAGCAACGCAGGAGAAAGGCAGTACCTTCACTGCTTAGTTGTTTTAAGTATTAGTAAAGTCACGGTAATCAAACCAGCGACCTCCCGCTCTACAGTAAAGCGCTCTACTCGATTTTTTATGGAACATGCCAATTGTTGGTTTAAAAAACTGTACAGTACAGCGTACATTCGTTGAAACTTAAGAGCCAATGTCGCAAAATATCGAATCTCAACTCAGTGCTAAAAATTTGAATTTTGGCTAATACCACCCAAACAACCCTTTAGGTGAACTATTTCAAGGAATGATATCGCGAAATCCTCAAGCGCTTTACATTTTGAGAAATTTGGGAAAGTTCGAAAATTCGATAAAAATCAATTTTCTTAATTCGCGAAATTGCTGCAAATTTCAACAGTTTTCAAAGAAGCAGTACAAGCGGGCAAAAGCTCCTTTTGACTTGACGTTGCACATGCATTTACCAGTAACCCAAAGCTATAAGACTGCATAAAAATGTCTCGCAAATTAAATTTTGTCATATAGTTTTGGGCTTTTGTTGCTTGCACCTTGATTGTGTGCTGTTTGACGGTCGAAATAACCCCAACTTTAACCGCAAAAAGTCGATTCTGGTATGACTCAAATTTAAAATATGATTATACTACATGAAAGAGCTGTGATTTTTTTTTAACTAGATCTGAAATTTCAGCGCTGAGAATTTAAACGTTTGCGAAAAATATAATTTTGAATATAGCGACTCGGGCCACCGTAAGCGACAAGAACGTGAAATGTAAACAAAGCGGAAAGCGTGTAATCAAAGGAGAAAATCACACCAAAGTTATTTCTAGTCCACCAAAACGTAAAAGAAATGATGGAAATTTCGGCGTCTGAATAGGTATTGCTATCTGAAAAGCTAAAGAGGCGAAATTGTCCGTCGAATAAATATATAAAAAGGAAAAAAAATCCTGAAAAACGAGCAACTGAGATTCGCGTCGGGTGACCATTTAATTCTGAACTCGGAAGTTAAAATGCTTCAGGCTGGTCAAGTCCAAAAGGCTTCGAGAACTGTTTTCGAAATGCTCCAATAAACTATCGACAAACTAGGTCACATGATAAATTTACTTTAGTAAAAATGAACATAACAAGAAGTCGGAATCATGATTACAAATGACACTTCAACAACAGGAGTTTTTTTGTTTTAAAACGCAAGTTCCTGGATTTAACAAAGTTACCTTCCAGTGTCCATTTTTTTTCTCGTGATGCAAGGCTCTGAGCTTTGCATCTCACCTTCAAAACATGACTTAAAAACTAGCAAATAACTGAAAGTTCAATATTCCGCTGATTTGTAAAAAGGTTGCGGCCTAAAGTTGATTCCTAAAAGAGACCAGTAACTTGATATCATGTTACGAGTATGGTAATTTGAATAAATTACCCTTGAGCCCCTTCACGTAATCTTCCACAGGGTACACGTGACACATACTATCACCTTTAGCTCTGAAGGCGTGTGGACAAAATGTTGTGTAGTTTTTCGACTCTTGTTGATGGCAATTTTTGTATTCGGTGTAGTGGGGAATATCCTTGTGTCTTGTCAATCCGAATTTATCCCTTCTTTTAAACTGCCAATTATTCGACAAGTTTTCTTTTACAATAACGGGTCTTTTATTTAGCACAGATAAGAATGGCGACACAGCCCCTTTGAAGAACGGTCCCTTTTCGTCTAACAAAGCAAATAACAAAAGAGCAACTTACATGATAATCTGACTTCAACAACATTTCCCTTTCATTTGCTAAAGTACACAGCTCAGTGGCTTCTTTCTTTGTCAGTTTAACTTGAGTGACTCCGAGATTATGAAGCCGAGGACGACCTCTGAGGCACTTGATTAGTTCAGTCACTCCGCGGCCCAGTGGATTTTTGTAAAGCGAAAGGGAATTCAATTTTGGTCCGTAGACGAGTACATGGACTAAAGCTGTGACTTCCTCTTCACCCATCTGTGTATCATCCAGGCACAGGTATTTCATATGAGGTACACTGTGCAGATGTTTGGCAAGCTCACTTACTCCATGACCGAGTGGGTTGTTTGATAAGTAAAGTACACTCAGCTGAGTCACATTCTTTAAACTAAGGGCTAAAGCTGTAACTTCCTCTTCACCTATCTGTGTATTATGCAGGCCCAGCACTTTTAGATGAGGTACACTGTGCAGATGTTTGGCAAGTTCACTTACTCCGTGACCAAGTGGGTTGTTTGATAAGACAAGTTTACTTAGCTGAGTCACATTCTTTAAACTAAGGGCTAAAGCTGTGACTTCCTCTTCACCCATCTGTGTATCATCCAGGCACAGGTATTTCATATGAGGTACACTGTGCAGATGTTTGGCAAGCTCACTTACTCCGTGACCAAGTGGGTTGTTTGATAAGTCAAGTGTACTTAGCTGAGTCACATTCTTTAAACTAAGGGCTAAAGCTGTAACTTCCTCTTCACCCATCTGTGTAGAATTCAGGTACAGCTCTTCCAGATGAGGTACACTGTGCAGGTGTTTGGCAAGCTCACTTATCCCGTGACCGAGTGGGTTTCCAGTAAACTCCAGTAAGCGTAACTTGAGAACATACTTTAAAGCAGTGGCAAGTATTTGGCACTCTTGATTCCCCATACCAACATAACATAAATAAAGCGTAGATAATCGAGGCACATGGTGAAGATTATTCAGTAAAATGACAACTTCACCAAGTTCACTTGTTGGGCAATCAATTCCACACCCAATTTCAATCCCTCTCAAATATGACAGAGAGTGTGTCAGAGTCTGGTCAGATGTTTTCTCAGTTAACTGCAAAGAGTTGCAAACATCATGATTCTGTAACTTGTGAGCAGGCTCTTGAAGAGAGGACTCTGGTGCTGATATTAATGATGTAAGCAGTCCAGTGGGTAGGTATTGAAGGCGAGTTAAATAGCACACAAATCGATGTCCGACTTTCTTAATGAAAAAGCTGTTAGGCATTAGATAGTGGTACCTATTGGCAGATTCTACGTCACCATAACATGTAACAAAAACAGGGTCCAAATCGGACATGACAGACAACATTTGATCATCCCTTTCTGAGAATATACACCTTTCTTGAAAAAATACATAATCTGGCTTATGGAAATTTGTTGATCTCAGGCAATGTTCGCTGGAAACTTTAGGCAGTTGTTTGTCCACTATCAATAAAAGACCATTAACGCATTGCAAAAATGAAGGATAGACATTTTTTCTATCTGAAGCAGGGCAAGAAAGGAAAAGATCGAGACTAAAACGATAAAACTGTCTTTGTTCGTCAGTGAGCCCCTCAATAGAGGGGTCTTCACAAAAGTTGTAATCAGTCAGACCTTCTTTTTCTCCTATCATCTTCAGGTGGCTAAAAACAGCAACGGTAGCTTCTGATGACAACTCCGAAACAAATTTGAAAACTTCAGATAGTTCCGTGAACCGTTCAAATGAGTCGACTTTAGACAGACAGTTGAAAAATTCCTTGGCATTTTTTAAACCACGAACTAAAAACGAGGCGGCAAGGAACTCTTGCACCGATTTATGGAGAAAGAACGCCAGTTTCTCAGGACGAGGAGAGTTTGAAAGATTAGAAGTCTGCAGAAAGCCAAAATCGATAAACTTATCAAGGAACAACCGAATGTCCTTCGGCACATTGCTGAGCTTGAAGTGAAGACAGTCATTTAAAAGTGCCTGCCAGGCAAGTTTCCCTAACTTTGCGAGTTCTTCTCTGTATTCATCCATGCTTTTAAATGTCTCATCTGAGGCTTTTGCGGTCACGTGATCAAGCAGCGTCTGACAAAAACTGTTATACACATCTGCGCGGGATGTAGATAGTCCTTGATAACCAGAAACCTTCCAGCTTAGAACCAGCATCAACAACAAAAGAGGAATTTCTGCCAAGTCCCACAGGTCGCGTTTAGCCAAGAAATCTGTGAACTTTATTACTTCTGTTTGGTCGCGAAGAAACTTAAGAGCAAATGTTTTAACTTGCCACCGATCAAACCCATTAATTTCAAACTGAGCATGACTTCCTGATCTTAACTCATCTTTTTTCCGAGGTCGGGTCGTCACAAGAAGAGTGCAATCTCTCAACTGACTGCCTTTCCAAATCTGATGAACTGGCGATGATTTTTCGGCGCTGTATTCATCATAGCCGTCTAAAATAAGTAGGACTTTCTGTTGGTTACGAAGAATGTAATCATACAACTGACTAAATACCATAGGGTCACCTGCCGACAACAGCTCCGCCTTTTGTAGCATGGCACGGAAGTCTTGCGTGTTGTAAACATCACGGAGCTTGATTAAAAGTACAACAGCAAACTTGTTTAGGATTTCTTTATTACCTCGTGACCAGTCAACGGCGAGTTTCTTTGTCAACGTCGACTTTCCTATTCCTGGCCTCCCATACACTAAAATTCTCTTAGGAATTAGATGATGACCATGGCTTGCGAATAGCTCACTGTAATCTTGAAGCCTTTCTTTTGTTGTTCCAGAAAGTTTTCTGTCATCTCTTAGCAGTGTTAACTGAACATACACCTCATCAATGTCCATGGTATTATCTCGGTCCCAAGGGGTAATCATTAACTGGCTCGCGGTACTGTTGTAAAATGAGCAAAGCTGATTTTGACTCCACTCCAAAAAAGCAGTTGCAGCATCTGTTTATAAAAAAAGTAAATCTCTTTAAACTTAAATCCTCTCTAATGCATTGAACAGTAGGAAGTTAATTGTACAAGTTTTGTGGTAGCACAGATAGTGGTAGTTTTTCTATTACGGCCATTTACATCTAAGCGTGAAATAAAAAAAGAGCCTGATCTCAGGTTAACACTGGAGCAAGATTCTTTGTGCGTTAAGCTTATTACCAAGTCTTACACCACCAGTTTTTTAAACAACCTTCTGTCGCGAGGCTGACTTCTTGGTCAATTTTTGAGATAATTGTAGATTTCAACACTTTTATACTACAGTAAGTTTACATTATACTAGCCTCCCCTTCTTATTTAGTATTAAAAAATTAAAATGTCATGATTATTTTAACCCGTTCAATGACGTTAAACATGGCTTTAGAATCTGTGCTGTTCAGTGTTCTTTTGTTGTTGTTTTGCACTGTAAATCCGTTGCTCAGGCTAAGGGTGGGAAAACCTTACTAATTTAACAAATAAGCTAAGGAACAGAGCGCAAATAGCAGCTAATTAGACAAGAGCACTTAATAGTGGAGAGGGAAGAGGGTCTTTTTTTAATTAAATGGAACACATGCACTGTAAACGTTCGAATAGCACCCGTCTTCAAATAAGTGCACCCCCCCCCCCCAGTACAAAATAATATTGCCCAATTATTAGCTAATGTATACGACATCCCTGATATGACAGTTCCAAAAACATTTGGCAAGAAAAAACAAACAAAAAAAGTATAACCAACAACAAGAGAAAAAAGAGGAAGAAATAAGAAAACAGGAGAAAAACAACAAGAGGAAGGGAAAATGAACGGAAAATGTATCCTAAACTTGTAACATGTTGGATTGTACATGTACAATGTAGCATTAAACATTAACGCCCCGTCCACACGAATCTGGATATTTCTGAAACTGAACATTTTCTTTATCACAAAACAGCCCTCCCTAAACACTAAACCAGTGAATCCGCTCAGTCATCCGTGGCCTATTCATGTAAAAAAATATGTGGTTTCAAAAAATATTTGGATTCGTGTGGACTGGAGCCATAAATTGGTACCTGAAGGACTTGGTAACTGTTCCTTTGATCTGCTGGCTGAGCTCTGCTCTGATATATCTTCAACAAAAAGAGATCTCTCACTTACATTCAAGAAATCTACTAGAAATAACTGCTATTTATAACCTCACTAGAAGTGTATATCAAGACAGGTGTAGTTTTAACACTTCAGGTGCGTTTTATTGAGAAATCCGGATTTAGATTTTGAAATCCGGACTTCGGATTTTGCAATCAAACGCGAAATCCGAAAACGGATTCCATCTCTGAGAAATCCGTCCTCAGGATGAATCTGGATTTCATGGGTTTCCTTTTTAATGTTTGATTGGGAAATCCGAAAAAAGATTTGCAAAACTATTCTCATGAACAGCGGTCTTCTTTTTGCTAATTATGCATGCACGTGCACTGCTCTTAACGACAGTTTGTCAAATCCTTTTTCGGATTTCCCAATCGAACGGTACAAAGGAAATCTAAAAACAGATATCTCAAATCCAAAATACGGATTTTAAGATCTAAACCCAGATTTCCCAATCGAGAGCACCCTTAAAAAAGAAATATAGCTATGTGGTCAGTTCAATACGACTGCTGAAAAAAAAAAAAAAAAAAAAAAAAAAAAAACAGACTCGTCAGAGAACACTTGGTGGTGATTGTTAAACCTAAAAAAGTTCTTCTAACCTATACCTTATTTCACAACAAAATACACAACTTTTTTTGTTCAGTTACTCTCACTCTCTCACTTACATTCAAGAAATCTACTAGAAATAACTGCTACTAATAACATCACTAAAAGTGCATAATATCAAGACTAGTGCAGTTTTAACACTTAAAACAAAAAATATAGCTATGTGGTCAGCTCGATACGACTGCTGGAAAAAACAGACTCATCAGCTAAGAACACTTGGTGGCGGTTGTTAAACCTAAGAAGGTGCTTCTAATCTAAACCCTATTTCACACAAAATCCACAACTTTTTTGTTCAGTTACATGACTGTACTTCAATCTCTTTTTGGGTTAAAATGAGAAGGGAGCTTAATGCCATAGAGCTTACTATGGCATCAAGGAAGTACATTCTACCACACCAATAGTTTCTGTAAAACAACACACCAAAAAAAACATAACATTATGAGAAATATTTACTTTGGTAATGAGGCCATGAATGAAAAACACAGGGCTCACTCAAAATGTGTGCAACAAGAGATGCTGCAATCACACTGGCACAGGAAGACCAACTCTCTGAAGGCAACTGAGAACCATCTGCGTAATCAGCTATCCCTTTCACAATTAACCACTCAATTTGACAGTCAAATGCTGCTGTAAACACTCCTATAGAACAACAACGAAAATGGCACTTAAGCTGAAGACAGTCCTACGTCGATATCCAGTAGTTTACATTATATTGCAAGTCAAACTTTCCATAAAAATGCAAAATATTTAAAAGCTAACTGGAGTTGGAAGATGGATGAAAAATGAGGAAGGTGTGAACTGTGGAAATATGTACAGCCTCCTTCCCAGTTGTGTTCGTTTGGATTGCGGTTGTGGACAGCTTGCACCTTAATTGCTCTGGCGGACATGCTTCAGGCAGGTATTAGGACCTCCATTCATCTTCATCTTCATCTTCTTGGTGAATTGCTTTTCTTCAGCTTTTATTGCGAGCGAGTTTGGGGTTGGTGCTTAACGCCCTCGGGGAAACCAGGTCCTGTGACTCACTGTTTGTGGCCCCTGTTTTTTTCTTCAAGCATCTGTAGACTGGTTTGGGTGGGCGCCACTCCCAGGGTTGTCATAAATACACTGATACCTCCAAGGCTCACTTAATTGCCCTCCCTTCCATTTCACCATGCACCTTCCCCACACCCACCTATTGTCAATGGGTTTAAATGTGGCTAAATGTAATTGAGGCGAGGCTAAACACGACACAATGCTGGCTAGCAGTCGCCATTACTAATTATATATGGGGTGGTCTTGGGCTTTAGCATATTTTACTGTACTTTCCCTGAAGTCAATCATTTTGCTCATGATGCTTTCGCATGCAGTAGCTTTACATGTAGCTCAGTTTTTGCTCCCAGCCTTCCCTTCCCTTTGGATTTTTTTTGGTAAGTATTTGTATGAGCATTTCCCCACTGACGGTTTCCGTGTGATGGTACCTGAAGGGTGCCACTCACAGGGTTGTCATGGTTACCTTCTAGGTTTGCTTAGGGCTCCCTTCTGTTTCACCAGGCACCTTCCCCACACCTACATGTATGTTTCATTAATCGGTTTAATTTGCAGATATTATCACTGTCATTACAACAGCAATCTAAGCAAATGCAAATTAATCTGAAAAAAAAAGGGAGCTAGGGAGGGATAAGAGGGAATTTGAACCCATGGCCTCTGTATCAGCATGACAAAAAAGCTCTAACAACTGACAATGAAGACCCATACATTGATAGCACGAACATCTTTACAGTAAATATTATTATTAAAATCAAACAAGCAGACAATTGAACAATGCCTTAAAATAAACACTGAATTAAAAGCAACATACAAATCTACAGAGCTTTAAAAGAGGCCTGACTACATACAGTAAAAACCCGCGACTAAGAACCTGGTTTTTGAGAACCTGTTAGGCTAAAATTTGCCACTTTATAGGCCCCCTCTATACAAGAACCTGTTTAGCATAGTTTAAAAGGGGTTCCTATTTTCAAAATTTTTGTAAAAAATTTTTTGTACATTTCGACAAATAGGACAGGTCAACATTCAGGATCCCCTTTGGAGACATAAGTACCTTATCACCCTAACTGGGATGTATTGGTATGCAGATTTTCTGCAAAGAATAGGCTGAACACTACTAAATACTCTTACCTACAATATTTATTTTTCCTTCAGAAAATAAGAACCTATTTAAGAACCTAAATAGCCTAAATTTGTCCCTATAATTACCATTTATGTAAGAACCTATTTAGGCTAACTTGGGAAAAAGCAGGTTCTTAGTTGCGGGTTTTTTCTGTATCCTTGCTAATGCTGGCTGAATACAAAGTGAATTCACCTTCATTTTCTATTGCCATTGCCTGAGGACTGGTTTCAGCAAGTTGATCACGCCGCCACTCAGCTCTGACTTGTTCTGGTCCACTCAGAAACTCAGCATCAGTATAAACTTGAACTCGCTGTGCTTCAGGGTTCTCCAAAGGAGCTTGCCACCCATCAGCGCAATTCTTAATAACATCCAGAAAGCGTTTGCTCACAGAACTTCTCATACCAGTTGACTGCTCTTGATTGTTGGTCACTGCAACCTTTGATGCATATGTTGCTAATTTGGCAGATACGACGACATCTCCTAAGTTGGATTTTGCAGGGTTGATGCCCCTACATGTGCCCACAGAAATAACTGCTTTGGGTCTAAGCACAGAAGCAGCATTCTTTACAGACACAAGAGCACCACCAGGACCAATACCATTTCTGTAACATCTTAGTAAAGCAACTTTCAACTCCTCTTGACTTTCACCCACATCAGAAAAGTAAACATAGCCAAGACCATCAAACCAACATTTATAGGGTTTTTTTAGCTCACTATAACAAGCCAAGAACTCACAGTTAGTAACTGTAAGTAACAGAATGTCAACAGGCAGATCAGCATCTTTTGAAGGTTTGGTTATTGCCTTAATATCAGCGAAGGATGGAAGACCTTTATTAAGCTCAGGAGGGTCCCCTTGAAGGTTGCTTGTATCATCTTTAGATGGGACTCCAGTTATAACCTGGGCTGTGATGTCATCACAGCTGCCATCCTGTGAAGATTCTGACATCTTGGATCCTAACCATTGCATAAAAAAAGTAACATTAACAAAAACTACAGAGTATACTGAGATACATTATGGTGAACAAACGTCAATTAATAGTCTAATAAATTAAGGTACGAATCATTTGGTGAAGGAACTTTAATATTAACTACACTTGTGAATATCAGATGTAGCCTATGGAAGAGAGCATGGAGAAGCTCTATTGCTTCATACACTGATCGCCACGGTCATTGACAATGTCTCCAGCCATGGGTGTCGATCTCAACTCGAGAATTGTTGGTGCATTAACACACTCATAGCTGAAGATCAAGTCTATTAAGCCGTCCTGAAAACATAAATTACGATGGAGGGCAAAATATAGTGATTTGTCAGTAAAAGGTGGTGATGAGTAGATCATTATTCAGCAAGGGCAAATAATAAATAGACAATGAAAAATCATGATATTTTGAGGAGCCGAGTTTATAATAATCACTTTAGACTTCAATAAGTGAGTTTGCTACACCTTGTAATAAGGAGTCTAAGACACAGAACGGTGACAGTACCGAAACCTATTGTTTTAAAATGATCCATTACCTGCTGAACCTACATTAAATAAGACACTATGGAGATTTTAGTGTAATATGTAAAAAACGAGGGAGAGTGTTTCATAATGGGCTCCAAACACCGCGAAACAGATGAAAGCACGAGGCCATGATGTCTTTGCAAATGAAACAATAAGAATTTATGCAGTGAATTGTTTCACTGGTATTTTCATTGTTTCCATCAGTTGCGTTAATCAATAAAACACCATTAAAATGCAAGTGTTTGATCGGTATAGTTTGATCTGAGATGAAAAACATGTTTCACCACAGATGAAAATGAGGAGATATCAAGATTCATCCACCTGACCCAAATGGTTGTCATTTATTGGCTTTTGACTACATGATCATGTATAATTAACGAGTTTGAAAACTAATATATAAAAAACGACAGGCATGGTTTCATCCGATATCCAAACACTGAGAAGTGGGTTGAAAAACAAGGCGTAGCCGAGTTTTTAAAGACCGACTTCGAGGTGCACGTGTCTGGATATTGAATGAAATACTGAGTGGAGTTCTTGATGTAGTTTCGCAAATGAACTACCATAAATGACTAAGCGCAGCACCTTCACTGAAAATAATTTAACAAATGCGAATAAGCACCGCCGCGGCACTAATTTGGGTTTTTTATAACATATTAAGGCCCCACCTCTGCTATGGCGCTTAGTATCACTTAAGAATTAATAGGTTCATATAAGAGTTCAAGGTGAATTTTTATACAGAATAGTGCATACCAAGTACACGCCTCCCTTAATTCTCTCCATATTCCCCTCACTGTTTTACCCATTGAAATAAGTGCTGCTCTCGAATAAGCGCCGCTCTCATATAAGCACGCGGCGCTTAATCAATCATTTATGGTACATTATTCTTAGAGAAGTCAAAGATAAATTTTGCAAAATTTTTATAAATAGTTATCTCATATATATCCAAACCACCATCACAGTAAGTTGTCATTTTCTTTATTTTCTCTTTACGAACAAGTTTGAGAAATTATTTTTCTGCTAACACGGGAACTGAAACTGCGCATGATCAGAGCAGTTTAATAAATGCACCATGTCATCTGAAACCTTCATTTGACATATATATATGAATTAAATGCAATTCGCCACTTCTACATACGATACAGCTGATAATACACGCCTTGTACCCCCGGCCTCACTCCAGGCAAATTTTGCATAGGAATTAAAAAGAGGAAACAATACTTTGCCAAATTATGGGTTGTAACCAAGGTGTATTATGGGCAATATAAAAGTGGCCTATACAATGAACCTTACAATTTAAAGCTCATTACCTAACCTATACGAACAGACCCAAGACTCCGTGTTACAAAATTTTCACTGTCACGACGTTATGCTCTCTTTTGCAAAACAATGCACACTACATTCCTCCGTAGTAGAAAATACATTTCATTTTGCTAAATTATCCTGCAAACTTGGACAAGTATTTTTAGCAATGATTTCATTAGATTTTTATGGCAAGTAGGTTTGTCCACACTCGCAATGCTCAGAAAACATGGGACTGTAGGCATTTTGAATGCCAGTTGCATGTTTACATCGGCATGTCAGTTTGCATTCATTAGACTTTGAGAACCGTAAAAAATCTATTAAATCAAACAGATGAAAAAGATATTCTAGAGAGCTTAATCAGATCCATTCTAAAACTCATTGATAATTCATAAAGAGAAAACAAAGAAGATCACAACTGTGACGGTGGTTTGGATAACGGACAGTGGCGGATCCAGGGGAGGAACCCAGGGGGCCCATGCCTCCCTCTTATGTTTAGACCAAAATGATAAGGCCTGAAGGGCTGAAAAAAAATTTTTGGAGACCACTCCCCCCCACCCCCTATCTAAGTTCTGGATGACTGGGCCCCCCTTATCTCAAGGTTTGGATCCGGCACTGTCGAATACTAAATACCATAAAATTTTGGAAACTTTATCTTTGAACAGAAATGTGATGATTTTTTATAAAATAATGTTTTATTATTGTCCCAAGAGACTGAAAAAGCTTTGTTTTACCACCCTCAAGACAAAATGGGCGCCGTGTGACAAAGGCCCATCAAGGGCTCTTACAGACTAAGGACTCAGTTCACAGACTATAATCTATTTCTTTACCTGCTGTTTTTGAGTGATCTCTATCAGCAGACTCTGTAACAGTAACATCTACATCTGTAACAGTAACAAGAATAAATTTGAACAAGACTGAAAATTTACAAGTCACTGTATTTGCTGACGTTGAGGGGAATTATTGAAAAACACATATGCAAGTGTCAGAGCATTTTTAGTACCAAACTATTATTTTTGCATTTTAATGAACATCCATTACCCTGCTGAATCTACATTAACTAAGACACTATAGAGATTTTTGTGTAATATGTAAAAAACAAGGGAGAGTGTTTCATCATGGGTTCCAAACACCGAGAAACAGATGAATTAGCGCGAGGCCATGATGTCTTTTCAAATGAAACAATAAGAAATTATGCAGTGAAATGTTTTCACTGGTATTTTCATTGTTTCCATGAGTTGTGTTAATCAATAAAACACTATTAAAATGCAAGTCTTTGATCTGAGATGAAAAACATGTTTCACCTCAGATGAAAATGTGGTGGTATCAAGATTCATCCACCTGACCCGAATGGTTCTCATTTAATTGCTTTTGACTGTATGATCAGGTATAATTAACGAGTTTGAAACTAATATATCAAAAACGACAGGCATGGTTTCATCCGATATCCAGACACTGAGAAGTGGGTTGAAAAACAAGGCGTAGCCGAGTTTTTAAAGAGCGACTTTGAGGTGCACGTGTCTCGATATCGAATGAAATACTGAGTGGAGTTTTTGATGTAGCTTCTCAAATGAACTACCATAAATATATAATTAATTATTAAGCGCAGCACCTTCAGCAAAAATAATTTAATGAACGCGAATAAGCACCGCCGTGGTACTAATTTGGGTATTTACATATTAAGGCCCCACCTCTGTTATGGTGCTTGATATCACGTGAGAAATAGGACTTCAACCAACTCGTAAGTTCTCAAGTTTTAATGTAGAGAAACTCTTGAAACCAGGTTGGTCTAAGAGTTAAAGGTGAACATATTTCATACTAAATCGTGCATACTAAGTACGCGCCTCACTTAATTCTCTCCATATTCCCCTCAGTGTTTTACCCATAGCTGAAATAAGCGCTGCTCTCGTATAAGTAACATGGCACTTAATCAATCATTTATGGTACAATTCTGGGAGAAAGTCAAAGATTATTTTATATAAATTTTGCAAAATTTTATGATAATATAAGTTATCTGATATCCAAACCACCGTCACGGTAAGTTGTGATTTTCTTTGTTTTCTCTTTACGAACAAGTTTGAGAAATTATTTTTCTGCTAACACGGGAAATGAAACTGCGCATGATCAGATCAGTTTAATTAATGCATTATGCCATCTGAAACGTTCATTTGACATATATGAATTAAATGCAATTCGCCACTTCTACATACGATACAGCTGATAATACGCGCCTTGTACCCCCGGCCTCACTCCAGGCAAATTTTGCATAGGAATTAAAAAGAGGAAACAGTACTTTGCCAAATTATGGGTGGTCCAACCAAGGTGTATTATGGGCAATATAAAAGTGGCCTAGACAATGAACCTTACAATTTAAAGCTTGATCATTACCTAACCTACGAACAGACCCAAGACTCCATGTTACAAAATATTCACTGTCACGACGTTATGCTCTCTTTTGCAAAACAATGCACACTACATTCCTCCATAGTGGAAAATACATTTCATTTCGCTAAATTATCCCGCAAACTTGGACAAGTATTTTTAGCAATGATTTAATTAGATTTTTATGGCAAGTAGGTTTGTCCACAGAAAAACTGGGACTGTAGGCATTTTGAATGCCATTTGCGTGTTTACATCGGAATTTCAGTTTGCCTTCACTAGACTTCGAGAACCGTAAAAAACTATTAAATCAAAGACATGAAAAAAGATATTCAAGAGAGTTTAAACAGATCCATTCTAAAACTCATTGATAATTCATAAACAGAAAACAAAGAAGATCACAACTGTGACGGTGGTTTGGATATCGGACAGTGGCGGATCCAGGGGATTAGAGCCCAGGGGGCCCACGCCTCCCTCTACTTTTTATACCAAATGGTGAGGCCTTAATGGCAGAAAAAAATGTTTTTGGAGACTGCTCCCCTCCCCCCCTATCTAAGGTCTGGATGACCGGGCCCCCCTTATCTCAAGGTCTGGATCCAGCACTGTTGGATACTAAATACCATAAAATCTTACAAACTTTATCTTTGAACACTATACAATGTGATGATTTTCTATAAATGTTTTTTTATTGTCCCAAGAGACTGAAAAGCTTTGTTTTACCACTCTCAACCTCTCCGAACGAGGCTAGACAGGTAATAAAGCTACTTCAGTTTCTCGGGACAAAATTAATGGGTGCCATGTGGCAAAGGCCCATCAAGGGCTCTTACTGACTAAGGACTCAGGTCAGAGATTAAAATCCATTTCTTTACCTGCTGTTTTCGAGTGATCTCTATCAGCAGACTCTTGTTTTGAAACAACATCTGTAACAGCAAAAAGAATAAATTTGAACAAGACTGAAAATTTGATCTATTTAACTAAGACGTTACTGTAAGGTTTTTTAAAGAAAAATATGTGTCATAGCTCAATCATCAAGTCTCAAAAATTTTGACTTGTCATGTAATAAATCATTTATTATACTAAATCTGCATCAAGAAACCTGATCAGTAAACAAACTGTTTAAAGGTTTTTTCAAAAAGACCCAGCGCCATGTAAGAGAGACCACTGAGCGATTTCAGTCATGTTTGTGAGCAGAGCATCAGCGAAGAATGAGACAATAAACATTTTTGCTTGCCGTTATCTGTCTTCTCCCTTAAATTATCTGTATATAATATT